TAAGCAGGTGTGACGATGCGTGGACACGCGTCTACCAGGAAAGACGGACCCTCACACGAAGCCGACGCCCGCGTCGCGACCAGGTGTTCTTTATTATAAATCTCGTTCTCGGTCCGGGGCACGTCGTCTCGCGAGGAACGCGGAGTTTTCAACGAACTCTGTCGCAGACTCCCGTTCCAAGAATGGCGATTAACGCGAACTCGACTTCGCGAACTTCGCGCGCCACCTTCAATGTTGCCCGAAAGGTCAAAGGCGCGACTTTAACAATGGCAGATTCAGGCACCGTTTCTAATAAACGAACGGTCTCTCGAGCAACGAAATGCTGGAAACATTGTCGGGGAACTTTCACTGTACAAAGTTTTAGAAGAAATCAAATTTTCTCGCTTTTAATAGTCCCGCAAAATTAATAATCGAATATTTCTAATTCTAGGGAGGAAAGGGGGCGGGAGTTTATCTTTTGTCCTCGAGATTGGAACTCTAAGTTACAAAAGATAATACCTCTCTATTTCTCTCAATGATCTACTGTACATATGTTCCAAATATGCTAATTACATTTTTCAATGATTCATTTGAAATTATGTTGTACAGATAGTTTCGAAGATTCGTGATTTCTGAAAAAAATATGTTCGACACGTTTGGACGCCGTGTGTACATTAATATTGCGTTTGCACTTTATTATGTTCCTGATAATTATTCAGTGTGACGTGTTCAATTACCACTCCAATTTTTACTTGTTTATTATTACATGGATGTGCAGATATATATTTTGTTTCAAACATTAATGTAAATCATGGATAATAATGATACACATATTATAATTCAAGTTGTAATTTGAATGTATAACTTTCTATTTTTATTTAATTATTAGATTGCGGATGTTTATGCAAGTTTATATTTTCACAAGTACAGAAACAGAATTTAAAGTTAAATGAAAGTATGTCTAATCTTCTAAACAATATAACATGTTTGTTATTGCCGATATTTTATACATTTTGCAAATTTTTATACATTTGCACATTCTCATAGGTTTGCCATATTTCCATTTCCAATAAGTGCATAAACATTCGCAGTATTTTAATTATAATTGAATTAAACGATATTTTAAAAAATTTTAAGACAACCTGTACATGGTCGAAAACGTTCGTATTATGTATAATTAATTTACATCGTCAATCAATATTTTTATTAAATATTCAAAAGTTGCGTACTAAATATCATCCATTTCTATGAAGTAATTGTAATATTTAAAATGCCGAGAATGATTCCTATCTCAAAGCTGATATGTTTACATAAATTACTGCTAGTCATCAATGCTTCAAACTATTGGTCTTTATTTCTTACATATACGAGTATGCCCTTCTATTACAATATGCAATATCATTTGTAAGTTTCTGAGAATGTTTTAATTGCAATTATTAGAAAAGGAAAGCACTTAATTTTCATCTTACACATCAATATCATCTATTAATCCTTTCATTCTAAAATTATTTTAAAATAACAAAAATGATATTTACTTCCATTGTTGTGCATATTACATAACAAATAAACAATCCAGTTGCTTTCTGAGATGCAGCATTGCTCATTTATTCAAATTTAAGATTATTCAACTGCTGGTACAGTTACATTAAAATTGTTTTACTAATTGTAAGTTGCTAATTGCTGTATAAGTACTGATACAGGTCTCTATCCAATAATACCATTTTCCCACGTAATTGCAATCATCCCCGAGACCAGAAGCTAAATTCCAAGGGCTATATCGTGCAGCGACGAGATTCCGCACAAAGGGTATTTATTTTTCGTGATTGACTATACCAAATATTACAACAAGAGGTGGCATTGTCGGTACACGGGTGCTTGATATTAGTATAACGCGGATGGTGCGGGTACCTGGACGCATTGTTGCCGAGCGTATATTGGCACGGCCCTGGGGCAGACGCCGCTCATTGTACCGCTTCGGTACAACCCCTATCAGGGTGGTGCGCGCGACGGAAACGTTAGGAAATCGGAAAAGCGATCCGACGCAAGGTGGCCTTCGGCTAACGGGAAAACTCGCAGCTCTCGGATGTCTACGATCCGTGGGTCCTGCATGTGACTCAATTGTCTCTGTGTTGGCCCTCTACAATAAACAGCAAACCTGACTTCTTCTGTTTCACGGTTGTTTTTCTTTTTTTGGAAAGTACCCTTGAACAGGTGTGCAGAATTCATGAAATTGCTGAAATTGTATGTAGAAATCAGAGCGTAGGTCTGTGTTTGAAACTTTAAACCCGTTTTTCTCGAAACCGTATTTTCGAAGCTAGTTGACCCGATTTCAGAAAAACTATTGGATCTATCAACTTCAAATTTAAATTGTACATTCAGAAATGATTCTTCTATAGCCTATAGTCGAGATGATACATTGCATACATAGTTTATTTTCATTCTTTCCTAAAGTTTGAATTTTTGAATAGGTCGAACTTGCCATTTCTACAAGACTGATCATTTTAGATTTTTTTTCGCTAGACGATAAAGGATATTCATATGTATATTCATATTTCAGTTTATTTGGACAGTAAATGTCACGTCAGTCAGTCACCAATGTCTGTTCCTCAGCATATATATTTTTACAAACATCTTCCTATAAAAATTTGTATATCATACAAAAATAGTAATAAAAAAAGGTTTCTCTAAAAATGTTTAATTTACATAACAAATAATTGTTGAATGTTGATCTTTTTACACATAATAAGACACTCGATTTGAAATAAAAAATAAAGCTAACTCTGCCCAGAAGAACAATGTCAACAATTTACCCCTGTATTTTTTTACTATAATACGATTAACTCATTCATAACAAATTTTTAATTAAATAAAGCAAACAACATTTACCGTTATAAAGACGTTACACAATTCGTAAACTTGAATTACAACAGTGTCAATAACTTACTAATCTATTTTGATTTGTATAAATTCCAACTTTCATTTGTTGAACATTTCCTTCATACCATTATCAACTAAATAAAAATCTTTAAATATGATATTAAAGGTAAGCAAAGGGTGGGTCAGTCGTTAAGGCAACTACCCCCAAAGAGTTAACCGCGTTATACGGGAACCTATTGTAATCGAAAAGCTGAGAGTGAGTTCTCAGGTTTCCTTAGAACGTGTCGACTCTGTGAATTTCGAGACGTCGAGATTTTCAATTTTAGGCGCACGTTCGAATGATTCTGGTAAAAAGTAGTGGGAAATTCGTTCGTCGTTATAAAGGTGACCGGAAAAATTAGGTCAGCAGGCCGCTAGAATTGAACGGACTATTTATTTCACAATAGTTCCGCGCAGCAAGTTGGAACTCCTTCCATCCCATTTCCGCGCTTCCATTACAAGGAATAATAGGACGGAAAGCGGGACCGATCGCGAGGCCCGCAAAAGTTGCTATCGCCGGCTGAATTTCCTGTTGGTGACAATTATCCTCGCGGAGAAAGCGCCCGATTGCCTGCGACTGACGGCAACTCTTTACTCCACATAGATATCGAACGAGAAATATTTCAACAAGCGCACCACCGCGCAGCCTGTTAGCCTAGCAATCGGATTGCTAAATGAATAGCATCATAATTTCTAAAAAAATTAATTCTTTCTAGATATTTGGTATCTGTAGTCATGGTGTGTATGGTTTTGTTACATATATGTGATTTAATAAGACAAAAAATTAATAGACCGATACATTCTTCAAAATGAAACTTGTTTGTCTATGGAATCAACTAATGGAATCAAATATCTTTAATATTTGTTTGCATATTTTACTATCATTGCAGTTCGAAGAACAACCACCATTCCGTCGTTTTATTTTGTCCAGCTTTTCGTTTTTTAAAACCAATCCCATTATTTCGTGTAAATTCTTCGTCTTAATTAAGCATCGTTGTTAATACAAGAACAAAGCCGATTTTGTCGTATCACATTGGGGAAAAGTACTCGCTTGAGTAATTATTGGAGTGGTCCAAAAGATACAGCGCATTTTATAACTTAATTCATTAAGTGATAACATTATAATGTTAAAGATGATAGCACTGAATTACCATAGATCAAGTCATTTGTATTTTTTTATTATTTTCTCGGTACAATTATTATGTTCTTCTGAAAAATGAAAAATTCAGCACGATCAAGCATGAAAAATTCCTTAGATTCTAACTTTAAAATGTTACTTATTTATGTTCAGACTGATTGTCAAGTGTTACTATCGACTTTTTTTATTTCTAATCAGTTGTGGATGTCATTAAACATGTACCAAAATTAATGTGATCGGTAATCACGATAAGTCGCCAACAGCGGTGGGTAAATCTGTATTTGAATAATAAATGACAAATGAAACCAACGTCCAGCTATTTACTTGAGAGTAATCTCCCAAGCACCTAAACGCAGCGTCGTCTTGAAGAGTCTATTATCGATTTAGTCTTGTTTCGCCACGTATTATACATCTTTAATAAATTAATTACTAATGCACAATGAAAAGTATTAGGTTGTCCCAAAAGTTTCTTCCATTTCCTCAAATAGCAATACATGCACAATATTTTATGTCTAATGTTACATTATTGAATTGTACACCATTCATTTTACTCCATTGATGTTACAACATTGACATCTAAGAAATTAGGTTGTCTATTTATTTAAACACTGCCATACAAAATAATCGAGTGCAAGTCACGGACGAAACTTTTGGAAGAACCTAATATATTAAGTTCAGGGAAAATAAACAGTAAGTTAGTAATGAACGTTTTAATTAGAAGTAACAGAAAATGTATTCCAATATTTCTACAATCATATTAATAAAATACACGCGTTGTATAGCGTACGCCGAAAATATTCGATACATAATACACTGTTTCTAGCGTATTTAAAAGTGTCCTTGTTGTGCCAAAGAACTTGTATTTCTCAGAGTGGAATTGAACTTCACGTGGTTTTATTAAAACGAAAATTCTTGTCTTCATACTTCATTCAAATTCATAAAGACCATATACTGTTGCCACAGTGGTTTATGGGCAGTTTGGCACATTAGCTGCAATGTCGCAATCTTTTATTTTTGGATTGAAGTAATGATTCGGCTGACAGGACGATGTGATTTCGTTCCCGTTAACGCAAAGATAATAAAGATCACATCTGCCTTCGAAGGCTCGCTTCTCTCCTGGTTTACATTTAGATGGTTGGGTTGGAGGTGTAACTGTACTTCCAGGTACCAAGTCTTTGCAGCAGGTTACATTCGCCGGCCAATCACAAACTCCTAATTCCGGGTTAAAGCACAATTGGTATGAGGTGACTTCGTCCTTATACTCTGGGCACTCTATCAAAAACTTTTTTCCCATGTTGCATTTGAAAAACCTATGGCAATTATTTGGATCAGCAACCTGAGTCGATAGTTTTCCATTTATTCCTGGGCATTCTGAAAGAACGGCTGCTTCTCCATTGATAAAAAAGATGGCTATTGTGGCGACAATAGCTACTAAATATAAATCTGAAATTTATCAAGCAGAAACATTAATACTAGGTACCACTGTTCTGCGAATATTTATACACGATAATTGTAAAAACGGGGTCAAGCTGTAGCTATTTTCTAAGATGAAATATTAAAAGTTAATATAGGGAGATGTTAAATCACACAATTGAGACTATTCTTTGATGATATAATTTGTCCACTTGATGCAAGTGCAAATGCAATGTACAATCGGAGTAAAATATTTCCAAATATTTGTAATTGAAAATCGTCTATGTTGACGTTCTTAATATTATTTGTCAAACTGGATTTTCTGTACGTCAAACACATTATTCATTTTGTACTTTTTCTTACAAAAATACGACTTAAACTTATACGATGCATTACAGGAACACTTATCCTATGGAGTCTAATCGCATCTTTTGTTGTTAGGTATACTGATCATAATAACATGAAATTTTGAAACAGTAATTTAATGTAGAGTAAGTCTTTAATGATATTTCAACGTATCCCGTAGCATTTTAAGAAAATTTGAAAATTGTAGATTTCAGAACCGTTTAAAATTTTGTGCTATCTTTCTTCAAGAAATTATAATTATGTATTGAATTAGCCAATGAATAATGAGTCTTCGCGAGCTTACAGCGACTACATAAAAATTCCAAATAAAAATAGTTTCAGCTTAAACAAAGATTTTGTTTAATCACCTTTACAAAATTTGTTCTAAACAAATCTCTACTTTGTATACCATTACACTTTTATACAAAAAAGATTGGTTAAACATATTTCTTTTTCAACTAAGATAGTTTTCATTTGTTACACAAAGATAAACATATGTTACATAAACATCGACAGTCTAGTTATAATTTACTGAAGAAAAGGTAGCAACCGATTTCAAACAGCAATAAAGTCGATAATTCTTAAAATTTTTAAAAATACTTCGACATAGGTTTAAATATCACTAAAGATTACAACATATTGAAATTTCGCCAAAATCAACGACGTTACTCTAAAAAGTTTCTGATTTCGCGTTGAATGACACCTAAGAATGAAACAGCTCTAGGTTCGTACGTATTATCGACAAATTATTAACAATTTTTTATTCTTTAATCCTCTTTTGTTCTCAGTAAGAGCTCTTTCAATAAATTGTTAGAAACATTTCCAAGTACTTACTTCTCATAACGAAACACACACGATGGCTGAATATCTTGGAAATTCTAATTCTTGTAAAATCTTGAGACACACGTTGAAACTTATCTGGCGGCTAACTGTACATCGTGTTCACGGAATCACGTTTATATACTGTTAGGCCCTTCATCCGTTATTCCAAATACCAGATATGCCGAACAGTTGTTATTGACTCAAGATTAACGACCTCAATTACTTGGTATAGTATCACGCAGGCAAAACAAACATGTCCAATATAGAATACTACTTTCATTAACATTCGATTTACATATGAATTGAATTCTTGAAGTGTAACAATAAAATTGTAACTGAAACACTTTAAGCAAACATTTTTTTATTTTAATATTACGTGGCGACTCTCAGGCGTACTCTAACTACGCGTAGAAGTGTTCTTACTATTCCTCATCCCAGATGGCAGTGGTAAACGACGCAAGTGGTTGATAATGGTATTATTAAAAACTCATCAGGCTGTAGAAATGAAAATTATTTGAGCGCATCACTTAATAATTTAGTTAGATATTGCTAAGTAGCTACTCTGATTTTTTCACTGACAAAGTAGCTACTTTGATTTTTTCACTGACAAAGTAGCTACTTTGATTTTTTTTTTTGCTTAAAGTATTCTATATATATGGGCAAATCCACAGAACTTTTAGATTTGCAATTGAAAAAATATTTTTGTTTGGCAGCACATTTTTAATATTTAGTGCACACAATCAAAATCGGTGGGCACTCTAGCCTCGCAAATTCTCAATCCATCGACTTGAATCTCTTTTTATGTAATCAGCATATGTTTTTCTAGTGAAATACGTAGGGTTTTTTATTATATTAATATTTGTATTTTTCATGCAACTTTAAGTACAGCAATTTTAAGCTAAATTGGTATGTTTTACTTGGAACGATGCCATTTTATTGAAAATATTATTTTCAATAACGGCTATGTATTTCACTAGCTTTTGGACCTATGAAACTAATTAATTTTAGTTCACTGTTCTAGCTTGAACCTGGTTTGAGTTATCGTCTGCCAAGCTGCTATTTTTCTAAAAATGAAGAAAGTAAAACATGATTTTCTAATACAATATCGCTTGAATAACAATTCTTGAAAAGATCTGAAAATTCAGATGGGCTAAGTGGTGTAACCCCTTAATGACAATAACATTATATTAGTATATCGATGGTCCTTGATGGTCCTGACATGTCAAATTCATACGATTCTATTTCATTCCAAATAGAGTCCTAAACGTTTAACAATGTAGGTGGTGCTATAGTTGTACTTCTCACCGTAAATATATACAATAAATTTCGTTTACGTTACTAAATAAAAATTTAGAAATTAGTAGGTTGTCTTGTGTTTTTGTACCTGATTGTATTATAACTTACGCGGATGCATGACTTACTTGTTTTCCATCGGGTTCATATAAATGAAGTTTGGCCATCTGTACAATCTTGTGAATGTTATTTGGTTCGAGTACTGTTGTATTAGAGTATTTAGCTGAAGTTAGACAAATATGTGATAAAATTCGAAACGCGAAGAAGGATCCCTGCACGCAATCTCGATCCAAGAGTCCCTCGAGACACCATCAATCTTCAGCGAAACAACTTTGACGACCGGTATTTCAGCTCACACCCCACATTTTAAGAAACAAGTTTCACCATGGGGCGGAACATGCATTGGTTTGAAAATTAGGGGACCAATACACGACGCAACAAATTCACGACCAGACCACCGAACAATGTGCCTCCTGCGGACAAAACCACGAGTCCCAAGAAGCAACACGAGAGACAAACAAGAATCGCGGTCGCTGCTGATTATCTACAGGACAAATATTGTGACTTTGCCCGACGCCGATCGAAGAATCAAGATCAACCATCTCGCGCTATTATTGAACGCAAGAATTGATTCCAAGAAAGCCAAAGGGGTTTTAAACGAGAACGATATGTTTTTAAAATATGATGGCAACGCCTTTTAGTGGCATATGTAGGAGTGTGATATATAATATGAGGATAAGCGTGTGAGCGTATCTGTGAATGCAATGGTTGCGTGGTTACGCGGTGTGATTTGTTATTTATAATAATTCGGAGTTCAGTTCGGTCGACACAGTTGTAAAAGTCAGACAATAAAATATACATTGTCAAACTGGAAATCGTTTAAAAGTCATTTGATTCCTACACATAGAAGTGACACCAAGTGCTATTTGTACTCGGTATGCTTTGATAATCGTGGTAACATTGGTAAGATACACGCTTCAAAAATGTTTGGTAATTATCATAAACTGAAAGTAAAGTAAACGATCTCTTATGTATACCCAACGTACAGTTTGTGAAAATTATGGTCCACATAATCGACCTAACATGCTCACTATTCGTCAAATCGTTACAAAATTCGAAAAGGATTTAACTCTCCTTAATAATTAACTAAAAATGTTGTATCGCAATCGTAACCGTTGTTAGTTTACTGATTGGGCTCTGGAGTAATTTGTAATTGATCGTAATTTTGGTGAAAAAATCTTGGTTTTAGATGCTTATTTTTAGAGCTCACGAACATTGGATGAATTAAAAATAAATATAGAACACAGTATTGCACACACCATTGTTATGTATTATATTTGAAAGCTAAACAAAAATATATGTTCTATCTTAAATGGTTGTTATTTCATTTCAATATAACATCATATCCCTTGTTTCGAGTAAACCATCTCTCTCATTTCCTTGAGCTACTAAACCCATTCGCAACTCTTAGATCTTAGATAGGTTGAAAAATATCCAACTTTGTCTTAGCTGCAATATTATATTTAAAGTTTTTAATTCGGTTGACAATGTTATGAACTAATGATAAGTAAATAGGAACAGAAATGTATTCGAGTCAAAATTAACAAATTGTTGACACTGTCGTTGTCATCAAGGTTGCCGATTTGTGTGGTGCAGTTATAATGGTGAATGTTTTTTTTTAGAAATGTATTATTTTATACTAATTTTATATACTAATACTTTATACTCGTTTTATACTAATTTTGCAGCTGAGTTATTATCAAGATTGTATTATGTGCAGCTTGAGTTTTGTTTTTATTTTAAAGTGTGTGCCCCAAAGAGTCAAAAAACCTCAACGAAGAGCGATAGCTTTATTTTATCTTAGATGGCATACTATGTATAATAGCATTTTATAATATATACTATTAAATATACAGTATGAATACATAACAAGAAATCATGAAAATTGTCTCGGAACTGCTAAAAATAAAATCAGTACCTCTAGTTTTCTGAAGAGACTGTGACTTGAATCATGTCGATTGGAGTCATGATTTACTCAGAAAGCTGTCAATCGAGTTGAAAAGTGTTGTTTAGAGATAAATGTACCTAAACCCCCAATAGCCTTCGATCGAACGTTTAACACCGCTCCACACTTCACGTCGTAAATCTAGCAATTCTAAATATCTTTTTATCAAAATTTGACAGAGCGTTCTTGAAATGTGGATCTTTCGAGACACGGAACAAAATTAATTGATTTATAAAACTCTTATACAGTGTTGCGTCCCCTTAAATTAGGAATGTTAGTTTAATTCGCAGTAAAAAATCTCGTCTTTCTAATTTCTCCCCAACACGAAATACGACTACGCCAGATACCATCGTCGACCCAGTTAATTACCCATGTCGTCGTGCTGACCTCGGGTGTCCGAAGCGTTTGAAAATTCGCGGCTGTCATGTCGGGACGTCTTATCTCCCAGGAACGTGTCGCGAGTTATCGTCGGCCGACGTTATAGCGGCCGATATTGCTCTGGTCTGGTCTGGTCGGAGTGATTAATCTTAGCTCGAGGCCAGGACAGTGTGTCCTGCTGGTGGCCCCGCAGGGTAATGATCCGTGGCACACACGATAACCTGCCACCCTTGTCCGACACCCCTGCATGTCCTACGTGTGTCCTTCGGACTTGTACGATCGCGTGTATCGAGGATCCCGGAAATTTCGTGGCTAGGAGAGGACACCTTCTTCGGATGTCGGTGGACATGTCAGAAGGCATGCGATACGTCTATCATTATAGACGTGGACCGTGTCACAACAATTTTTCCTTAAATATTGGGTTGTCTAGAAATTTCATGCCTATTTTCAAGAAGTCTAAGACGGTCCGAAAAAGCAGCATATTTATGAATTTTTTGGGGACGAACGGAACATGTTCTGCTAATATGTTTTAGAGTACTCGAAAGAACATTTCTTAGTGCATGTGTCACAATTTTTGTATATAAAAATATCTTAAATTAACAAAGTTGCGGCGTTGTCATTTTTGTACATGTGTATATCGTGGTGACCTCCTTACCTCAGAGCTGGGTTATCCGAAATTCAAAATGTAAGCATTTTTGAATAACACATTAAATTGTTTAAGTTGTTTCAAAAGGATTTTTAGCCTAGTTTTTTCTATGGGCGAGAAATGAGCATTCTTTAGGACTACAATGTATATGAATTGTTGCCATTATGCGTAACGTTATTTTTTTTACAAAATGCGTCTCGGTAACACTTAGACAATTTAATTTATTATTAACAAATGCTATATTGTTAAATGTCAACGACGCAACTTTGTCAGTGTAAGATATTTTTAAATACAAAAATTGCGACAGATCAACTATAAAACATTCTTCCAAATACTCCTAAATTTATTATTAGAACATTGTTCATTTCTCTAACAAATATTCTTTAATATGCACCTCTTTCGCACCGTTCTGAGTAGGCTTTTCTCCTTAAGAAATATTAACACATTCGCAATTGGCAGATATTTTCCATTTCTAATACCGAGTACTAACGAAAATAATAAAATTCTGAAGTTGAACATCACAAATTTGTATCGTTAGAGCTAAAATAAAAATTACAATTTTCTGATTGTTATCGAAATAAGTGCACCTTTGCGATAAGTGTGTGCTAAGAATTAAAACACTCGGAGTGTTATCAAACATTTTTTAAAATTATTTTTAGGGTTTTCTTCGGAAATGAAAAATCGTTAATTTAAAATACATTGCAAGTTGTGTGCAACGGTCTCGAATTTCATCCACGCAAATATTATTTTTGAA